GATGGACCAAGCCTGAAATATGTTTTGTGAAGCTGAATGTAGATGTTGCGTACCATGCGGACGAAGGAGCTGGAGCTGCAGCGGCTATATTACGCGACATCAGGGGTAATTTTATTGCTGCGTCATGCATATACTACCCTATAGCTGCTAATGATGTTACATCTGAAGTTGTGGCAATGAGGGATGGTCTAGCCTTTGCTAACACCATGGGATTGAAGCGGAATCAGATTCTTTGGAGGTAATCAATTTTTGCACTGGACATGATCATTGGTGGGATGCTGCAACAGCAATATATGCGAAATTCTTGGACTTGGCTACGGGTGTAGGGAAGGTCAATTTTATGCACTGTTTTAGAGAGGCTAATAGTGTTGCTCATGAGCTAGTTCAATTTAGTTTTCATAATAAAGCTTCTAGTATTTGGGATGGTGATCCCCCTAGTTTCCTCCTCGGTAAACTAGCCGATGATGTAGACATTATGTTCAGTTAAATAAAGCTAGCCACGATAGCCTTCCCTTAAAAAACCCTCTAAGTACTAGTTAATTAAAGATTTCTTTAGAAAGAAGGCCTAGGGCACGCGTGAAATGAGTGACACCCTCACGGATGCCCTCTCGGCGATGTTTCGTGGCCTGCGGCAAGTCGATCCTATATCGCCCCTACTCTTTTACTACCTCCGTCCTGGTTTATTGGTCCCCATTGTATTCCGTACGAGATTTTGACCATAAATTTAACTAACAAAATGTTTATGCATGTCACAAAAAATTATATCATTGAAAACTACATTTAAATACGAATCCAGTGATATATTTTTCGTTCACATGCATTAACATTTTGTGAGTTAAATCTTAGGTCAAATTTTGGCACAAATTTTAAAGGGGACCAATAAACCAGGACGGAGGTAGTAACTTTGTTGCGGATGCCCTCATGGTGATGTTTGAAAAGGCTAGGGCAGCAGGTCACATCAAGGGTGTAGTTTTACATTTCATCGTGGGGGTGTCTCTCTATTGCAGTATGTTGACGACACGATATTGTGGCTGACGTTGGAGTATCACCTCTGAGTACTATTACCTCCGTCCTGGTTTATTAGTCCAATTTGTATTTTGTGCTAATTTTTTATCAAAAATTAACTGACAAAATGTTAATGCATGTCAATAAATATTATACTGTTGGATTCGTATTTGAGCATAGTTTTCAATGATATTATTATTTTTGACATGCATGAGCATTTTATTAGTTAAATTTATGATTAAAATTTGGCACAGATTACAATGGGACCAATAAATCAAGACGGAGGTAGTAGTTAAGTAAAGATTTTTTTAGAAAGAAGGCCTAGAGCCCGCGTGAAATAAGTGACGCCCTCACGGATGCCCTCGCGACGATGTTTCGTGGCCTGCGGCGAGGTGTTCCTATATCGCTGCTGCTCTTTTAACTTTGTTGTGGATGCCCTCACGGCGATGTTTGAAAAGGTTAGGGCAGCCGGTCACATCAAGGTTGTAGTTTTCTGTGTCATCCGAGGGGTGTCTCTCAATTGCAGTATGCTGACGACACGATACTGCTGTTTGAACCTGATAAGTGACAACACTATAGTATTCTTTTAGAGCATCTCCAACAGCCGCGCGAAACGACGCGCGCGCACGGTAAACGCTGCTTTTAGCGCGCGCGGGGCGTTTTGCCGCGCTCCAGCGGTGGCGGTATAATCGCGCGCGCGCGGAAATTGTTTGCGCGCGCGCGCGGAAATCGTTTGCGCGCGCGCGCGAAAAGGCGCCAGCTCGCGCCTCATTTTTTGCGCACCGCTTCCGGCGCGCCTATAAAGTGCGGCGCGCGCCACGCGCCTCTCCACGCCTCTTCTTCCTTCCCTCTCTGTCACGCGCCGCTCCCGCGCCCCGCCATGCTGCTGCGCCGCCGAGCAGCGTCCGGCTACCGCGGCGTCCGCTTGCGCCCCAACGGCGTCTACTACGCGGAGATACGCTCCGGCGATCTCCGGCTCGGCCTCGGCACGTACGGGACGGCGCACGAGGCCGCCCGCGCGTACGACGCGGCGGCGTGGCGCCTGGGCTGGCCGCGCGGCCAGATGAACTTCCAGGACGTGTACACGCTCCAGCAGGCGCTCGCCGTCGCCCCGCCGCCTCGTCTAAACACGGCACAAGACCGTGCGGAGCACGCCGAGCGGCAGCGCCGCCTCCTCGTCGCCCAAGAGGACGAGCGAGCCATGGCGGAGTGGCGTCGGCGCCACCCAGAGGACGTCGCCGACGAGCATGCCTACTGGGCGGAGAGGACGGCAAGGCACCGCGCGGAGCGGGCTGACCGGCGTCAGCGGAAGGCATTGGCGAACGAGCAGTGCGACATAGTTTCAGCAGGTGGGAGGTCGTTCTTCACCGCGGACGACGATCGTTGGGACGACATATGGATCTCAACCTCGGACGACACCGACGAGGATGATGGTGATGGTAGCGACTTGGAGTAGTTTCTATCGCTGTATGCCGTAGTAGTTTCTATCTATCTACCTATGCTGTAGTAGTATGTCGAACTATCTATCTATCGATGTAAAATATCTTGTATCATTTTTTTATCTATGCAAAAAAATGTTTTTTATATTTAGAAATAAGCGCGCGCGCTGCATTTTTACCGCGCCTGCTGGAGCTGCGCGCGCGCGGCTTTACAACGCGGTTGCTGGAGCAAACGCTGCGCGCCGCGCCAAACCAGACGATGGGCGCGCGCCAAATCAATTTTTAGCGCGCGGCGCGTTCGGCGCCTGTTGGAGATGCTCTTATATTTTGAAATTATTGCAGAAGTAGGATCTGATACTGCTACGTTAACATATCTGTGCTAACACGATACTGTTGTGTAAACAGAAGATGTGTTACTCTTTTGTTTGAAATTATTCAAATTCCTTATCCTAAGGCTTCTCTTATTTTTGGATACCCTAGTACATATAGAAGATTGTTTCTTATTCCCTGCCAAAAAAAGATATTATTTCTTATTTTGAATCGGAGTAGATTTGAAAAAGTAGTTAATCCCCGCTGAAAATCACTAGCAAGTTTGCTTCGGCCCTTCATGTGTAAAAAGCACCTCGTTTCAATCCAAATATCAGTACAATGATGCTGCTATTAACTTTTACTTTCGTCCGCGATGTTGAGACGTTCGTATGAACTCATATGTCGCAAGTAATGGTTTTCAAGTTTCTCCTTCACTTCAGTAGCGAACAACACTCATTATAGGCGGGTCGGCGAAAGGGCCGTTGAGCCACCAGTCGGCGATGTACCCGTTGGTGGCCTCCGTGTAGTGAACTCCATCCCAGTTGACGAACGCCGACGGGTTCTCGCAGGCGGTCGCCCCCGGCATGCCGCAGATGGCGCTGCCGTTCCAGTTGTAAGTGCCGCCGGCTCCGCAGCAGGCCCGGAGAGCGTCCGCCTCGGCCATCCCTGCAGATCGACCGCAAAAAATTCCCAGGGAGCTCAGTGGCTGGCCGCGCCGCAGCAAGCAAAGTTCAAGACACACGAGCGCAACCAAAGATCGAAGGACTTGTTACCGTAATGGCTGGGGTTGCGGAGGATCTTGATGATGGGGCTGTAGAAGTCGGCCAAGATGATGGTGGCACGGGGGTACTTGCCCCTGAGAGAGACTATTGCAGTACGGAGCCGGGAGTTGTGGTGCGTGGCCACGCGGTTGACGTCGATGAGGCAGCCCATGGGGTCGTACTCCGTCGTGTTGAGGCCGGAGCGGCTCGTCAGCATGGTGGGTGAGCACCCCAGCGGTGGGTTCCCCGGCACCACCACGTAAACCGCGCCTCCTTTGATGAGCCCCTGCGGTGCCAAGGTGAACCAACACGGTTTAGGCGCGCTTTTTATTCATCATCAAACTAACTAGTACTAGGGCACAACACTGGTTCAAGTGCAAAATTCAGTGCTGATCAGTACGGAGCTTGAATGCATTACAAGTTATGAAACAGGAAGAAAGTCTGTCAGCATGGATATAGAAGATCTTCATCAGGGTGCAGTCCTTACCAGTCCACAGTTAAGAGCGGGTAAATCCAGTTTTAATCTTAAAACTCTAAAACCCAGCAAACTTTACACTCGACTTTTAAATTTGGATATATTTGGTCTCTCACCTATCTGAAAAGGGTTTGGTGGATGATGTGGTGCTTGTTTAGTTTTCGCGCATGTAACCCATTCAGAACAAATAATGAGTAATTAGAAATCAAGAAAGGGAAAATTGATTTGAAATTACGAATACCTTGGAAGAAAACTAGAATTTTAAGAGAAATTCTGCGAAATTTCCCAATTTTAAAATAAAACGTTAGAAAAAGAAAAGAAAAAAATAAAAATTTGAGGAACATTAATTGACAATCATGAAATATGGTGAATGCTCACGCAGTGTTTATGAATTTTTCTACAATACTTCCGTTTTCCTACTTCTTTTTAAAATAAATAGTTTTCTGGTGTTTTCCTAGACTTAGATCGTATTTTTCTGATTTTAAAAACACATACAGGTATATATTTTCTCTAAGAATCAGTATTTCGTCATAAATCTTCACATTCTTCCAAACATGATTTATTCTATATTTTTTGTGTTTATTATTTTTATTTGTGTTGACTGGGTTGCCATGTGGGCAAAACAACCACTGCGTCATCGAACAAATTTCTTTTAGTGGAGTAAAGGAATAAACATATCTTGTGTTGAAATTAAGGTTATTTTTTCGGTTTTAAAGTTTAGGAACCAAATTTAGACTTGCCCAAGGTCCATGGACCAAAATGTACTTTTTCCTTCTAGAAAAAGGAGATAATCGTGTCACATTTAACTCTGAAACTATATTCCATTTTAAGCAATAATCCTTTGGATTTATATGTTAAATCCATATTTTATTTCAAACACTAAATCATGAACCTTTTTTTTACCAAACATAAGTGTACCTATTTGTGTTTATGCCAATCTTGTGCGAAGGATAACAACAATTCTAATTAGTTCCCTGCCTTGAAAAAACCAATTGGCCCATTTGACTACTTCTAACTGATGAGAGGTGTGCGTCTAATCAATACTCCCTCCGTTCCATAATGTAGTGCCTATAGATTTTTACAGAAGTCAAACATTACAAACTTTGACCATGTTTATAGAGAAAAGTAGGTACATCTAAAATACCAAATGCACATCATTGGATACATCGTGAGTTATATTTTCGAAAAGTACATGTTTGGTATTGTAGATGTAGACAATTTTCTCTATACACTTGGTCAGAGTTAGCAAAGTTTGACTTTCACAAAAATCTATAGGCACTACATTGTGGAATGGAGAAAGTTATACTATCTCTGAGATGTGATGTGCAAAGACAATATAGGTCATAGTCAACCCTTACCTTCTAAGGGCACTTACAACGCCGGGCGCCAATGCAGGCGCCAGGATCTGATTCCTGGCCGTTATAACAAAATCCTGCCCGATTCCCTGATTTTTGCTAGCGTCGGAGCAAAGGTAGGCACCGAGTGCTAGCGGACCTTTACATTAATTTTTTAGTTCGAGTAGCAGCTGTATGCTGCTGCTAGCGTTGGAGAATGAGACTCCAGCATGGGCGCTAAACGTATTTTTTTGCACTAAGCACCTGCATAAGCGCCTCCCCATTGGAGATGCCCTAAGAGGTTAGAGATCATCCCGGGATGTGCATCACGAGATGAAAAAAACAAATTTGAGATGTGATGTGCAAAGACAATACGAACCGTTTGAAGGCCAAAGTCAACTCTTGCCTTCTGTCTAATGTTAGAGATCACGCTACTAGTTAGATTACATACTACTCCCTCCGTTCCAAAATAGATGACTCGGGTTTGTACTAATTTTATATTAAAGTTAGTACAAAGTTAAGTTATCTATTTTGGAACAGAGGGAGTAGTAAACAAAGGCTTTCAAAAAATATGTTGTGTTGTAGTACAAAACAAAAACGACAACGGTATGCTGGTCACTCAAATATACCTCCACGGCCGTGGCAATGTTTTGGACAACTGTAGGTACATGCGACATCACTTCGTCTTCAGTCTTGCCGGCAAACCACAGGAAGTTGTAGTCGTTCACTCCAAACTCCCCAACGAAGAAGAGAGCCTTGCTGAAGCAACCTCCGCACCCTGTATTAACAAGTTGCTCAGCATCATTTGACTTGTACGTAGACAGTAAGTAATTACACCATAAAGTCCATAATATAATATATAGACTGGAGAGCACGTCACGGACCTGAGGTCTCGGTCTTGTTGCAAATCACTGGCCTGAGTTCCTCGAACCAGCCCAACTGCACGCTCAGAGAATTGTTGAGCAGCTTAAATTGAACTATATTGTTCCTCTCGAAGTAGTCGACGTCGATCACCGGTGCGCCGCCGACAGCGAAGTTTACGCCTTTGGAGGCGTCCGAGTCATTCAGCAGAGGGTCCAAGAAGGGGGAGACCAAACTCCTGGGCTACAACCATGGGGAACAGAATTAATTAAAATCGAACATGCACTCAAACTTCAGTGAATTCATTCAATGCTTTAAGAACCAAATCATATCAAAACGATAAGTTAAGGAAGTGAATACAATGGATCAGATGGCTCAACAACTTACCGATGAAATCGATGGTGTTTCTGCCGTCGCTGAGGCGGCCTGTGGGGTGGCCAAAGAAGGTCATGCCATAAGGAAGCCTGTCATGCCAGGAAGGAAAAGGCGGGACCAACGCAGCCGCCATGATCACAAAGTTGCCGGCGTCGATGTAGGAGTCCCCGAGGGAATACATGGCGGTGAAGAAGCGTGAGTCGGAGCTCGCGCCATAGATACAGGAGAGGAAGAGAATGGAGAAGGCAAGAATGAGCTTCATGCTGGCTAGGCTAGAGCTTGGAATGGTGGCGAATCAAAGCCACACGAGGGCTAGTTATAATGGACGCTGCCCAGCTGCTATGCCGGGAAGATGAAGGAAGCGAGCTGTGCATCTTGTCAACGAATGGCAGCTTGCTTCCATCCAGAGCATGAAAAAAACAATTGGTAGCATTACATCCAAATTGAGATAAAAATTTAAATGCACTTCGTTGACCTCCACTGGCAGGTCTCGGGGATTAAGAGTAGAAGAGAGATTCTTTGGCATCAATGCTTATATAGTATAAAATGTACATGATCGTGCCAACTTGATTGCCCAGCGCCAGGATATTTCAATTGCTAACTATAATCAGTTTTAGTTGAGACTTCGTATATGGTTCAAGTGAGTGGTCACCCAGTAATCTTGGTGATGTGGAACTGAGTGAGATCTGGCAGAGCAATTCCTACTTTTTTAAGACAAGCTTCACTAAGTGGTCACCCTGTCTAACGCTGAGCGACACCAGGGGCTGGCCCAACTGTTGAGATGCAGTTCAGCGCAAGCTGCACTTTCACAGAGCCTACGGTATTCACAACACCATGGATAAAGATAAGGTTGCAAAAACGGAGGAAATGCAGATTCAGAAAAGGCACAACGTCCATGATAACAAAACTTAACCATGTCATCACAACAATCGCCTCTCGTCGGCTAATGTCAGTGCTAATAACAACAGTAAAACAGAAATACTTGTAACATATGTTGCTCCAAAATTCCATTCTTATGTCTGATAGATAAGCTGCCTCGATACTGACGCCAAAGTCCATACACAGGTTTGATAGCTTTAAAGGATGGTACTGGACTATTTACCACTCAACCTATCGACCGAAAGTCCTTAAACTGACCGGTTACAGATATTAGCCTTCTCTAGTTTTCAGCCACCTTTTGCTTCTTCGAGTGCTCCTTGTTTTTCTTGGCATCACGACGCTCACGCTTCAGACCCTTTATGTTGCTTGTTACGGTCAATTTTGAAACCTTTCAGACAAAAAACCATGACTCAGATTAGTATGCAGATTGGTTAAATTCGAACTACAGCTGCTGATAAAACAAATTAGACACAAACCTCCTGGTCTGGAATGTAGATCCTGCCCTGCTTGCCTTCAACTGGATTATTTGTGACATTTTTCACCTGCAAACATGTTAATGTAGTTGTGAATACATACTGACATACAAGTTCTCAGTGAGAAAATTAGGGCAGAGAATATGGTTGTTTGCTAATGGCACCAGTTAGCAACCTAACCATCAAGATAACAAAGTCTGATGAGCAAACGCCAGTTGTTCATTTGGAATTACCTTCTTAGCATGACCAGGAGCCTTCATAGCTTCTTTCTGTAAACTTTCAGCTGCTTGTCGGTGCCGCCTAAGTACCAGGTCCATTGAAGGCCCAACTTCAACCAGCTCCATTCTAGGAATAGAGGTGCCTGACCTTTTTAGACGGAGAGCGCAGTGCATCATGTAGACAGTAGTAGGAGAAATTGCTGTGCACACGAATATCCGATCTACACCAGCAAGGTTCAGATTCTCTACCACCTGTATCAAAAATAAACTAATTAAGCTCAACAATTATCCATATATATCTTACACGCCAACTTATCTATAAAGATGCACACCTCTCCTTTGAAATGATCAAGCAGCATTTCCTTCAAATGCTTCAGTCCTTCAACACTCTCAAAGTGCTCCCCAATGAAGGCAAAGAAAGGCTTTGTTCCAAGTTTAGGTGCCAACTTTTTATCATATGCATAGGATTCTATGGATTTGTAGTTCTCAACTCCTACTTCAACAAGGTCATATATGTGGTGATCGTAAGTCCTTCCGAAAACAAGATTGTTGGGCCTCTTCTTTGAATGAGAACCATACTGTAAACACATAAGTAGTTAAAGTTAAAATAATGGAGAATAAAGTTTAGTATGCAAAGGAAAATGAAAAAAAAATCATTATAGCAGACATGGAAAGAGTTTCTGGTAGGTTTCATAGTGGTGCTTAGAAAGTCGCCATCTAGCTCATTATAAAGCAATTTTACTTCTGGGAAAATCATCTATTGAAACTTATTTTCTCAAATGAATAACAATTCCCCATTCCCACGAACTACATAACAAATCAAGGCAGCATAATACGACTTACCACTAAGAGGCTGCAGTCAGATTTAAGGGAGAAGAACTCCAGGGAAGTTTCACCCCCGCTCTCAAATGGCCTGATGCTGTCGTTCTTCTTGGTGTACTTGACAGCATGATCACGCTTCAGGTGGAAAAGATCTGCCAGCACAGAGTTCAAAACTGCGCTGGTCTTTGTACCATGAAGAATAAGCATCTTCTTGCCATTCTCAACCTGGACCAAGCAGTAGAACATGTGGTTAAGCAACTAAATTAAGATTTACATGTTGTTATCTGTACAAAGCATAGAACATGTGCCAGAAAATGGCCATTCCTTTTGTGTGTAACTCAGGTTCCTATAAAAGAAATACAGTGTTGCAACACACTACTCCGAAACTTTTATTTGGAAAATTTCTGGAAGATGCCAGTCTACGGTTGGCCACGGTCACAAAGACAATAACAATCAAATAGTAGTACTATCTATAGTTCGTTGTACCTATCTAAATCACAATAATGATTTTGTGGTAATTGTATGGTTCTGTAATTGCAATAATTATAAACGGGGATGGTCTTCTTCTGGCACTGTGGACTGAAGGCACATTCGTAACAGCTGAAGAAACTATGGGAGGTAACATAAGCTTACGAGCTTGGGCGCATGCTTGAGGAGCTCGCGCTTGGCGCGCATGCTCTTGGGAACCCTGATCGCCATCTTGCTCATCTTGCTCAAGCAGCGGGGGAAAGGGACTGAGGCCTCCGGCGAAGGGTTTACACCTCTGGCGAAGCTTGGAAAGCACCTATTCGCTGCTCAAACAAAAATTACAGGTCAGTGCGAAGAAGATGACAGGAGAAGGGCTGAAAATTCGACCAGCACAAAAATCGCTGCGCCCAGCACTCCAGCAGCATCCCTGGCGAATCCGTACGCCGCAGCCGGAGCGCGTCCGAGCGCTGGCGCCGCGCGGCACACAAGATGGGAGAGAAGAGGGAGGAGAGGCTGGGGGGAAGAGAGAGAGGAGAGGCTGGGGGGGAAGAGAGGGAGGTGGGAGGCTGACCTCTGCCGCCGCCGTGTGGCCTCGTTCGACCGCCGCCGCCAGTCGCGAGAGACGAAAGGAGAGAGCGCTAGGTCTTTCGTTCGTGTGAGGGTTTTCAGCGGTGGTTTAGGGGGAGCGACCGATGCAGGTGATGTCTTGTACAGCAGGCCAGCGGGCCGCTTCACGGCCTCTGTAGGGTCTGGGCCTCAGCAAAGATACCCACCACTAAAAAGACAAAACAAAGATTGGGCCGTGAATGGCTTGCTCGCGACAACGCTTCCATTAAGAAAGGCAGACGTCGGTTATTAGGGGAAAGTTTTTCCCTCTCGTTAGGGTTTCTTCTTCCTCTCGTCAGCCGGTGGCGACGTTGAGAACCTACCGTCCCTCTCCTCCACACACCCGATATGCCTCTGCCCGGGCTGCGGTTCGGAGTCAGGGTGGAAATAGGGGGCTGAGCGAGTTAGGGTTTTACCTCTCTACTCTTCCTTGGGAAGGAGGAGATCGATCTACAAAAAACCCTAAAGTTTGGGGCTATGGCGGGACCTGGTGACACATCTGCAGGAAACGCCAAGGGGAAGGGGAAGTTGGAGGATCTCATGCAAGAACTAGCGCTAAAGGAAGAAGACCTAGATGATGTGATCTTTGAGGATGATGATGCGCCAGCCGAGGAGGAACTCAGGTGGATGATTTTAGCCCGTGTCCACATGGGACAAGGGTTTCAAAAACTATTGGTTCTTTCACAACATGCGCACGGCATGGGATCTAGCACGACCAGTCAAGATCAAGACCTTGGAAGAGAACCTGTTTCAGATGCAATTTGATTGTTTGGGAGATTGGGAGAGAGTTACACAGGGTGGACCTTGGCACTTTCGTGGGAATCTAGTGATCATCGTCCCATATGATGGGTACTCCAAACCTACGTCCATTGAGTTGTTCAAGTTTGAAATCCGAGCAAGGATTATTAATCTGCCCATAGCATATCATGGCAAGGTGAAGGCGCTGACATCTAAGCTAGGGGAATTTGTGGACTTGGAGCCATCGTCCTTTGATTTCGAAGGGAAATTTTACCGGGTGAGGATAAGGTTGGATGTACGGAACCCGCTGAAGAAAGCAACCTCGCTGATCCGGGGAGGAGAGCGGCAGATCTTTGCGGTGAAATACGAGCGCCTGCCCGACTGGTGCCAAGTGTGTGGGATGATGGGACATGAGTTCAAGGAACACGGTGACGGAGTCTACCCTTCTTCTGCGCTGATGTACAAAAACCTATGAGCTCCAGCTACAACAGCATGGGGGACTAGACGTTGTAATTACAGCCAGAAGCCCAAAAAGCAAGATGCTCAACCTGAAGTCAACGAACAGCCGAAGGGTGCAGGCAACAAGGAAAGCGATGATGTTGACATGGATCTTTCTGAAGTGAATCGCAAGCGAGACTCTGAGGAAGTGCTACAAAATCAAAACCCGATGAGTACTACTGGGATGGAGATAGTTCCGGTAGAGAAGAATGGGGAGACTGTCCCCCCCAGCCCCCCGCCAAAGCAGGACCCCAAGAGGTTTAGACCATCGTTTCAGAATGAGAAAGGAAGTACTAGAGCTCTGAAGAAGACCCCATTAATGGGTAAAAACCAGGATGCGAGATCGGCGGCCTCCCCGACGAGGATCGCCGGGCCCAATGAGTCTTCTAAGATGGAACTGTCGGGGTATTGGCAACGCCCCGATGGTTCAAGAGCTGCGTGAAATCGCGTTAAAGTTTGCCCCATAAGTGATTTGTATAGTTGAAACTCGGATAGGAAGGGAGAGAGCTGAAAGTTTAGCAAACACTTTAGGTTATGAATCTGCTTCTGCTGTTGAGTCCGCTGGTAGAAGCGGTGGTTTGGTTCTTTTTTGGAATAATGAAATAAAGGTAGAAATTTTGGGGTACTCAAAGTTCCACATTGATGCAAAAATCTATGATATTGGTAGTACGCCATGGCGGCTATCTTGCTTCTATGGTGAGGCACAAACAGATCTCCGTCAGGCTTCATGGGATATGTTGAGAGGAATGGTTGCCCACAGTTCCCTTCCATGGGTCTACGTGGGAGATTTTAATGAGGTTTTGCGACAAGAAGAGCATGATGGGATTGGGCAGAGATGCCAAGCACAAATGTAGGGTTTTCAAGATGCTATAGATGTGTGTGGCTTGATCGACTTGGGCTTCCAAGGCCGTATGTGGACGTTTGAGAAGAAGGTTACGGGAGGCACCTTTACTAGGGTCCAGCTGGATAGGGCTCTAGCGACGGCAAAATGGCACTCGTTGTTTCCCGGGTCGGTGGTTTAACACCTGAGGGCGGCGACCTCCGATCACTCACCTATTTTGCTGAAGCTTGTAGTTGATCCAATTAACCAGAGGAAAGAAAAGCTCTTTAGATATGAGGTCATGTGGGATTCGCATGCAGATTTGAAGCAAATAGTGAGAGACGTGTGGGACCCAAATATCAATAGCCCGATGGCCAGCTCAGTCCGAGAGAAGCTTTCGTCGCTGGCTAGTAGCTTGGAGAATTGGAGCAAGTACACTTTTGGTAGTGTGAGAGGAGAAATAAGAAACCTAAAGAAGGAGTTGGACAGATTGAGAGGGGACAATGCAAGGTCGGGACCCAGTCCAATAGAAACAAATATCAAGGACCGTCTAATTGAGTTGTACCTCCGCGAGGAACTGATGTGGCGTCAGTGATCGCAGATTGACTGGTTATCTGCGGGAGACAAGAACACCCACATTTTTCGTCTTAGAGCCTCGATGCGGCGTAAGAAGAATTTGATCAAAGCTTTGCAGGGACCAGACGGGCAGCTCACATACGACCCGACTGAGATGCAGCAGCTAGCGGTGCAATTTTACCAACACCTATATACTTCTGAGGGAGTACAGGGACCGGAGGAGGTGTTGCAGCATGTACCAAACAAGGTGACGGACGAAATGAATGAGTCTCTAATGGCTCCATATAAGGAAGAGGAAGTTAAAGTTACACTTTTCCAGATGTCCCCTATGAAGGCCCCTGGACCAGATGGGTACCCAGCTCACTTCTTCCAGAGACACTGGGACATTTGTGGGACTTCGGTCACCAAAGTAGTACTTGGCATATTAAGGGGATAGGAGAGCCCAAAATGCATCAATGACACTTTGTTGGTGCTTATACCGAAGGTACCTAACCCCACACTCTTGACTCAATTTCGGCCTATCAGTTTGTGCAATGTATTTTATAAGATAGCGTCGAAGGTCTCTCAAACTGTCTCAAAGTGATCTTGCCTGACATCATATCAGAGGAGCAATCTGCTTTTGTTCCAAGTAGACTTATCACAAATAATATAATTTCCGCTTATGAGTGCTTACATTTCATGAAGAGGAATCGGTCAAAGAATAACAGTTTCTGTGCTCCGAAGTTAGACATGATGAAAGCCTATGATAGAGTTGAATGGAGTTATCTGAAAGCTATAATGGAAAAACTGGGGTTTGCAGCACCATGGTTCTCAATTATCATGAATATGGTAACCTCAGTCTCTTTCTCAATATTATTCAATGGTAATAAATTGGAGGGTTTTAAACCTTCAAGAGGTATCCGGCATGGGAGATCCTATTTCTCCATACCTTTTCTTGTTGGCAGCAGAGGGCCTTTCGTGCCTTTTAAAATCACAAAACCAGTCATCCCAGCTTGGCGGGATCAGGGTGGCACCGAGGCACCGTCGGTTAACCACCTATTATTCGCGGATGATAGCCTGCTATTTTTCAGGGCAAGTGTTGATGGAGCTGACAAGGTATCAAACCTACTGGAGACCTACTGCATGACATCAGGCCAAAGAATAAACAGAGAAAAATCTTCTATATTTTTTAGCAAGGGGAGCCCTGAAATAGTAAGAACTGTTGTGAAAGGTCACCTTAAAGTGCCAAATGAATCATTGAGTGATAAATACTTGGGACTGCCAACGGACGTGGGGCACTCCAAGAAAGGTACCTTCAAATACCTTAGTGATCGCGTGTGGGAGAAGGTGAAAGGATGGATGGGACAATTACTATTTGCAGGAGGGAAGGATGTTTTGATAAAGTCTGTTGCTTAGGCTATCCCGGTATTTTCAATGTCATGTTTTAAACTTCATAGAGGGTTGTGTTAGAATATAAACTCTATCATTCGCAAGTTTTGGTGGGGATGCAAACAGGGCAAACGAAAACCAGCATGGGTGTCTTGGGGGATCATGACGAGACCTAAATATCTAGGAGGTTTGGGCTTTAGAGATCTGGAGCTATTCAACTTGGCGTTATTGGCAAGACAGGCTTGGAGACTTCTTCAGGAGCCTAACTCTTTGAGTGCCAGGATTTTGCAGGCCTCTTATTTCCCAAATGGGCATATTCTCTCGGCAGAATTGGGCTCGAGACCGTCACAAATCTGGAGAGCAATATTGGAGGGCAGGGATATAATGAAACAAGGGATCATTCGCAGAGTTGGTAATGGGCAGAGCATTGACATATGGGCCGACAACTAGATCCCCAAAAAGGCTACACGTAGACCAATCCTTTCTCTGATAGTGAATCCACCATGTATGATCAGTGAATTGCTACTCCCAGCAATGGCATGTTGGAACGAGGAGCTTGTTAGGAGCATATTTTTGTCGATTGATGCAGAGGAGATATTGAAAATACCTGTGTGTACGCGAGACGTCCAAGACT